GCATTTCTCAGTGACCACAGTCTCTGGGAATATATCGATGTAATGGATGGATGGCCCAACACGACGGCGCCTTTAGATTATCAATTTCTGAGTTTGTAGCAAGATAACAACACAGATTAACAATATGTCTGTGAAGACCATCGCTGGTATATTTTCTTTCTTTTTTTTTTTAAAGCGGTGGTCCTCAAACAGCTTTCGTTCGTGACTTTAACAAGTCAACTTTAATTGTTCACTAAATGGTTTGTAACGAGTGATTGTTTTTGTTTTCCTTCAAAAAATTAGATGTATAGGCGTCCGTTAGGATAAGCCTAGTGTCACGTCGGCTAGGTAAAATACAAACTAACATACAAAACGTAAAAGTAAATATGCGTTTATCAAAAACAAAAATCACAATAAATGAAACCACTTGTTCTTTCTGAGACGCTGTACTATTTTAATTAAAACAAATAACACAAGTAGGTAGACAGATCCGCACACCGCGCGTGAAGCATTGCACCGCGAAACGAGATCCAATCAATAGGGTTGTGTGTACAGCACTTGGGACATTGACGTGGCCACAGGACGGGGAGAAATCCCAATTGATTCAACACTCGACCAGTGTCACGTCCTCGATTTTTAACGTTCTTTGAAACAGCGAAATCCAGTGCCGCCCAAAGTAGTATTCAACGGACCGAGACCACAGTCGCAAGAATATCGAAAAAAAAGAGCAATAAGCAAATAATATGGCATATATATGTGCACCAACTTTAATAAGCATATAGTTATGCCGGTCTTTCACACTAATACAATCGAGAGGCACTGGCATATTCTGTCTGTGCGAGTTGTTGTTTTTTTTGTTTTTTTTTTGGTTTTCTTTGCCTTTGCTTGTGTTTAGGTCTCATTCACATGTATGGTGTGTGGGGTTTGTGACCGTGAATTAGTATTATGGAATAGAAATAAGAAAATCTCAACTTCAAAACAGAGCCAAAAAAATAAATCAATTCCATTAGACTTTATCCTGAGATCAACATCATCAGATAAGGTTGAAAAGCACCGTAGAACTCATAGAGAATCGACTGAAGTATTTCTATTGGACAATCTCACGGGCCTCCACAACTCCGCCGACCCCGGTGAACTTTTCAGGTCGAGAGCCGCACTGCTCTCGTGACAACACGTGATTGAAATCTCGATACCCTGGTCTAACCCCTTGGCAGACAGTGAGAGGGCTATTGGGCCGAATCATCACGGGACTCCATACACAGGGCCGACAGTCCTTTAAAGCGTATATGACGGTCATTTTGGGCCAGCGTTGAGCCCCTTCGATTCCATTAAAGGGGAACTATACTAAAACTTCGATTTTTTATATATTTTATTTTTTATTTTTTTTTTTATTTTTTTTTTTGGTATCATAATCTTGGCGTAAGGCATAATGTAAGGAAAGGAAAATAGCCCACAGCACCAGTTCAGTGTCCGGGTATACAAAAAAATTAGACCAACGCATTCGGCAATTTAGTGTGCATCTCCCTAGCTCAGCGGGTCTCAACCTGTGGGTCACCGAAGGATTATTTCCAAGGGGTCGCCTAAGACCATAGAAAAACACACACGCTCATCAGTTATGAAGCAGCAACAAACATAATTTTGTGTTTTTGGGGGGTCTACACAACGTGAGGAACTGTATTAAGGGGTCGCGGCATTAGAAAGGTTGAGAACCACTGCCCTAGCTTAACAATCAGAGTAACACCGACATGTAGGTTCACACACAGTTAATTACGTTCTATACCATAAAATAACCAAAGCCAGAGAGTTTCGATATGAGACCTAAAAAGTGTGAATCACAGTTTTCAGTCAGTTATAAAAATCCTACAATGGGTGAAAAGTTGAACTTAAATTAGATTGCACAAAACCTTTTTTTTTTTTTTTTTAATTTTTTTTTTTTTTTTATTTTAATTTAGCTCTCACTTAACGTTAGAACCATCGTTTGAGCCGTATCACCGCGCTATGACTGCAACGTGCTTTGGATATTTTAGTGATTTTTAGAAGTGATGGGGATATTCATTAATGATCATCTTGATGTGCAGGGTGTGGGGTGGGTTTGGCTAAACGGAAACGTCCTTGACCTGTTTGTGTTGATGAAAAAATATATTATAAAAGAAAATCAGCAAAGTGTTTTTTTTTTAATTTAAATTATTTTGGGTGAGAGCTACTTAATTATTAAATGAATATCAAAACAAACAAAATGAAACATGTTTCATCTCCAAAAGGCACTGCAAATATTATTGGATATGCTGAACGCAAATGAAAAAAAAA